GTACGTAATGATCAACCGATTGTACGCAATTATTAACCTAAAATTCTGCTCATCGTAAGATGAATTATAATCAAACATTCCACATATTTTCTGGTTTCAGACAGAAAATCAAAATACAAATAAGAAAAAATATGGTTTCAATTTTTCAGGCATTTAAATACTGATTTACATTACATAGAATGAAAGTATTATCAAAGATTTTATACTTAAATCTAAATTTTCGAAAGGTATATTAAAAAGTCTATAAAGATAAAACTAGTGAGCCGAGGAAAATGGTTTACGTATACTCCGTTGAGTTTAGATGAAATGACATCCCATGTACATATAGTTACAACTCTTTTAGTTTGATAAAATGACACAATGCAAGTATTCCATTTTGATCAATCAAAGTTAGTATTGTCTTTAGTATCCAGTATTATATTTGGGAGTCCAGTATTTATTTACATAAAGATGACATATGCTTTCATTGTCTTGGAATGCTAAGGTCTATGTCTGATGAAAATCTGCAAACAAATTGAACCATCATCCCGCCTGAACCAGGCCTCATGCTAAGGAATTGACTTTATTGGGAACTACAATCAAAGATGAAATTAATTGCGTAAAACACACAACAGTCAAATAATTGAAAGAAGCTATTTAAAGAAAATTTACTCAAATACTAAATAACGTCATTCACGATTTTTACAATTAACAAATAAAATCATTCGTGATATAGATTATCAGCAGTGCTTGGATTAGAACTATTTTCGGTACAAACACCTGAAATAAGATATTGATGCTTATATTTGTCTTATTTATTTTAAATTATAACATTAATACATCTTAGTAAACAACGCATTTAAAATCATTTAAACGTTTACTTATTTTGAAAAGCCCTATAGTTTGCACATTTTAAAACTTACTAAACTCAGTTGCTTGTGTTATTTTACCATCAACGTAAATTATAGAGGTTGTAGAGACATTAGAATTTTTTTGGAGCAGGCAAGATGAAAAATGAGCAACTGCCTTCCCCGGGAATCGAACTACGGGCCTCTGAAATACGGGCTCAGCGTGCAAACTACTACCCCGCGAAGGCTCGCCAAGAAGGTGGGAGAAATATCTTATGTACTCCCCCTTTTGAAGGGCGACTGGGGTTTTTAGGGGACCCATTTGCCATATCCTGGGTGAGAAGAATCATCATCCAACACCCTTTTAGTTTGAGCGCCTCTTGTGGAGACATTAGGTATTTTTTTGGAAGCAGGCAAGATGAAAAATGAGCAACTGCCTTCGCCGGGAATCGAACAACGGACCTCTGAAATACTGGCTCAGCGTGCGGACCACTATACCACGAAGGCTCGCCAAGAAGGTGGGAGAAGTATCTTATAAGGTTATTATTTAATGATATTGATCTTTTTCTCTGTAGATTCGATTGTATAATTAGGTTTAGTTCAACCTGAAACAGAAAAACATTGCTTTGACATTTATGATATTCTACTTACTTGTTGTCTGAGTTTCTGTGGTTTAACAATACTTTTATTTTTCCACACCTTACCAAGGAAGCGTGAGAGTAATTTGTTCAAAATTAGATACAGACTTTAGTGCTTAAGAAATAAAGTGGATAGCAATGACAATTTCTAAAGAAAGAATGCTGTTATTTAAAAGCATTTGTTGCTCTTTTGAGTTTTAATTGTAAAACCGACAACATAAAAAGGAAAGTAATGAGATTCATATTCCATGCTATTTGCTCAATCGAAAGCTTACACTCTTTACAGAGCTAAAATTTATTGTGAAATCCGAAATGAGAGAGAGGGAGGCTTTAGTGTAGAACTCATTTACCTTAAAGTTATAGATCAAAATCCTCTTATGACTATCAAAAAGGTAAATATTTCCATTGCCTTAATTATGTCGGTCAGGGCATCAATTCTGTCAAATATTTGTCACTCCATGTTATTTCTAATGATCGGTAGGAGTCATTATTAATTACAAATTACTGCTTTGGTAAATTACTCCAAATGACTTATTTTGTTTGTGTTTCAAGTTGCTTAATTACCGAGAGCTTACCTCCAAGTTTTGAGTGTTTGAATAAGGCCTTTGATTAAGCGAATTATTCAAGCTTATTTCCCTTTGAATCGAAAGAGGTCAAGCTATTTTAACTCTTCATATTAATACAAGAGTACAAAATGTACTGCAGAAGTAACCACCATGAGAAATCTTAAATTTGTTATTAAGTTTTCAAACCTAAAAGCATTATTTTAGATATATGGTGAATGTACTTGGTTATTTCATTGTGTAATTTAATTATTTCATAACAATAATGAGCTCCCGGTACGTTTATCAATAGTGCTTTAATTGGTTAACTAAAATATCACGTTGAATAGAGTAACAACACAAGTCAGAAAAAAACCTCATTTTTGGTCAGAAAAAAACCTCATTTTTGGTCAGAAAAACCTCGATTCTTTAAGGCGTTAACCTTCTGACTTTTAAAGGAAGCTGCTGGTGGTAAGAAGTTTTTGGCTAAATAGGAAATCCCTTAACTTGAGAATGAGCTTATATTAGGCATTTCGTACTTACGAACAGGTTCCTAAATCTCTCCATAAAGATAATTTATTATTAAATAACTAAATCTGAGAATAAGGTTTTTCCGATCATGATAATAAAACGAATGTCGTACGCTGTCTTTTGGGGATGCATTCCTCTAGCAGCTCATCTCATTGTTAACACATGCACCATCACTTTCATTTTAAAGCTTCTGTTCGATTTTTTAATCAAATTCCAGTTTTCCAGTATCATCGCCATCATTATCTTCTCAATAACCCAAATTTATCCTTTTACCTTGAAGAACGCCCCAAGACATTTAGTATTAAAATTCTTTTTAACTTTCTTCTGTGTAACCCTTCCACCTGAATTTGTTTTTTGAGCGCTCATTTTTTAAAGGAAGAGAAGAACAGTTTCTGTTACTTAATGTTAATACAAATATTATTTTGATTGTTAGAGTACATAGCTTTATTATTAGTTCACATAAGATATTATTATTATCATTATCATTATTATCGTATGTGCTCTATTCATCAGGGATTTGAATAACATATTAATCCAAAGTAAACATTTAGAAGATCTATTTCGCAACTTGCATGTCATCTATATATTCAGAATTGATAAGGGAAAAACTCAGATATTTTTCTCCCTTCTCGCATTATATGACAGTAACATGAGGGGAATGCGTACTGAGTCATGTCTCTAGTGCTTATCAGTAAGTTAGCTTTCTTATTATGTTTGATTCTGAATGAAATGTGTTCCTGCGTTGCACAAGTCGGGTGAGAACACAGATATAACTAAAACAAAGTGAAGCTGAATTAAAGATGTTGTGTTAGGATTCACAGAACTGCTTCGTTTTCTTGCTAAGATTCTTAAATTGCTTTAGAGAATAATAATATAACACTGTATGTGAGTAATTCAGTAAACAGTGTACTCTTTGGCGGTAATTTATACAGTTATGGGAATGTCATTCTATGCCAATATAGATCTAAATCTCTCTAATCTCAATAGGGTATTTGCTCAAAACTGGCATATATTGGAGCCGATGTGCGATATGTATGCGATAATTCATAGTAAGTTTCAAAATTAAAAAGAATTATTTATGATTAACCCTTTGAAGGTTATCAACGAGCTCAGATCGCATTCTAATTACGCACTGCAACGGACCCAAACGAACACAGCTTGTATTATAAATTTCGAAGGCACGCTCAGAAGACGGGAGAAGTACCTTACAAGCTTATGATTAAATCACGTAAAGAAACAATGAATGAGATGTAAATACTATCACAGAATCTGCTAGTTATAGGATTTATGTTTTTTGATTATTTAATACTTGCTAACTTGCGGATTTGTTTACCATACATCTAATTTTGAAGAGAACATTAAATCCTTTTTTATTTTAAGATATTCTGATGAAAGTTTAGCATTATATTAATGATTATAATATTTATGAACTTAAGAAATTCTTCTAGCAGTGTCAAGACATAAGACATTAACTTTGTTCTGTTGTTTAGCTTGCTATTTATAAATGGTGATGCTATTTATAAACTCTTCAACTATGCTGTTTGCATATAGTGCTCATAAAGAAATTTTGTACTTGCAAGATCTCGCACCAGTTCATGGGATTTATCATGATAGGAAAGATAACGATTTAGTTCCTTATTATATAAGCTACTGTTTTATTTCATGTAAATTACCTTATTTTTCTCGCGGTTTCTGCCCTTCGGGTTTTAGCAGAAAGATCTGAAAATGCTTCGCATATATTATCCTTTTTCAAAGCGTTCAGAGAGCGAGTTTCACTAAATTTTAAAACGGATACGTTCATGTAGCGATTGTTTTCTTCTTAGTAAATAATTTGCTTGTGGATTTTAAGTGCATGAGCTGTGATTAATGTAATAATAGTGAAGACCTTCAAGGAAACGGGGATATCTAAAGTTTCTAAAGATCACTGCAAGTGAGAAGATAAACTAAACGATGACGAAGCCGGTGACTATGGTGACCATGGCGACGACATGCAAAATATAGCAAACGACACCAGTTCCAGAAATTGAAGTTGTCTTATTTGATGTCGGTAATGTTAATATTACTATAGATTCATCTTAGAATACTACTATGCAATCTTATTTGAATGTAAATTTCTTTTAAATAAAAAAATAATATTGTGATAGTTACAGGTCTATCCATGAACACTTTTCATTTGTTATATGCTTGCTATAACCATGTCCTACGGAAAACAAAGTATTCGCAAAACTTTTCCCTCCCGATTTTCGCACGATAAAATTAGCGAAAAAAAAAGGGGGGGATAAACGAGTAAATACCTTTTTTTTTACTCCAACACTCTAGAAATGACCAAAGTAATACCTTGATATCAATTCATTTTCAAAAGTAATGTTTTGGGTAAGACTCTCTTAAAACAAATCACAGATGTTTATCGTACAAAGAATTCGATGCTAAAAAATATTTTGGGATTTTAAAAGTGAACTCACTCCATTGCATTCCTCCACAGTCACATCGTCTTCCTGAGGATTGCCCTTCTTCACTGGAATCTCTGTATACCTGATGTAGCTTAATAGGTGTTTTCTGAAAAAAAAAATTAATCATCAACAACGAGAAAATCCGATAATGCTAAAAATGAACAAGTCGCCATTTGAAAACTGCAGTGTACGCTCCAGAAAATAGTCATCATTAACAATTAATTAATGTTTATATGATAAGTCACTATTTAATAACTAAAGTATGTACTTAGATTGTACTTTTAGAAGATTAACACAAAGGGAAATACAGAAAATTGTTCGAAAATTGCTATATTTAATTCTCCATTAAATGTTTTAGATATTAAAATTAATCAAAATGTTATGTCATGATTATATTTGTTCAAAACTCGGAAAGAATTATGAAATTAATAGAATTATAGAATTATTTTTCAAATTAGAAAATGTAAAAGTTTCAATTCGGGAAAATATGATTTTCTGTTAATTAAAACAGCTAAAATTAATTGTGCATAAGACAGTTTATAAGAATACGTACATATATTATGACTTATTATATATAGTATATGTATATAACAATCAGTATTACAATATGGAATATCTATATCTATGTATTCTTATAACTATATCTATATCTATGTATTTTTATAACTATATCTATGTATTTTATACTATCTATATTTATCTATATATATATCTATCTATATATATATATATATATATATATATATATAAGATAAAAAATATGTAAGATACAAAATATGTATGTAAGATATAAAATATGTAAATTTAAATTCTATTTTTAATTTATATTCCCTTAACTCTGTATTTTAATCTGGTTATTTCCTCTTCCTATCTTGAAATATTAAATACTTATCATAAAATGTTCTACATTGTGTTAATTCTGCCAATCTACAAAAGCTAAATCAATTTGAAAGAGGATTTCATCTCAGTATATAATAATTAAGCGTCGTTGATGTAGCAGGGAATATGATTCTGGGAGTTTGGTACAGGGTGCTTATAATTAAAGCGACCCTATTCAAATCCCTCCAAAACCTGTTCTACTTATTCAATTTTGATGAAATGTGGTATATATGTTATATGGACCATGAAGAAACGATTTCCGCAATAAAAATAATTAAAAGTTTGACCACCAGCGAGAATTGTGGCTCCCAAAGAAGGACAAATCTGTTAGAATCATCAAAATTTACTCAATTACAGAACGTGATTAATGTGTGCTCCATTGACATCAATTACGTATTGAAAGCGCATTATAGCGTGTTCAATATTAGCGCGAAGTAACTCTCGAGGGATTTCAGCAAGATGGTCTGTAATGTTGGCTTTCAACTAAGGTAGGTCTTAATTCCTTCTCCACCAAGGTAAGGTCTTAATTCTCCACAAACACGGTCTTTTAGGAATCCCCGCGACTAGAAATCGCAGGGATTTAAGTCTAGTGAACGAGGAGGCAGGGCATCTGGAAAAGCTCTGGATATTACACGATTCTCGATATGTTAGCACGAAGCAGTTCTTTGACTTGGCGCCCAATGTGGGGGAGTTGCTTCATCTTGTATGAAGACAGTGGTCTGCAAACATTGCCGTTCCTATAAAGCAGGAATGACTTGCTGTCGAAGGAGTTCACTGTACTATGCACTCGTGACAGAGCACGATTTCAGACCTTGAGGAGGGAGAGTTTTAAAGGAAAACAGTCTGAGGATAAAATAAGCAGTAAATCCACACCATGCTCTCACACACAATCAGAATACAGTAGTTGTTGGTGCAGGACATTAGGAGGTGAAACACCTCAGTGAGGCAATTTTGATTATTCACAGCTCCATCTAAAGAAAAGTGCGCCTCATCTAACCATAGAATTTTCCAAAGCCACCCGTCATCAACATCCATTCTCGCAAAAAATCAGCAAGCAAATTCAGAGAGTGTTTGGTGGTCTTGATGTTGCAGCATTTGCGCTAAGTGAATCTTATACGGATACCATTTTAAAATGGACTGCAAATTTCTTTCTACTGTCGACTAAGGAATCGTAAACTCACGTGACATCGATCGAGTACTTGTTGAAGAATACCGGGAATCGACAGTTTCATTCGCAACCGGTTTCCGTCTTCTTCCTGGCAGCATACCCAAGTCTCCAGTCTCTTCAAACTTCATAATCATCTTATTCAAACCATTGTTTGACATGGATCCTTTTCGCAATCCCTTTAAACGACGATATTCAAGCAATGCAGCCAAGCTGTTACTGCGGTTCTGAAAAAATAGTTTTACCAGTAAAGCTTGATCTTTCTTCTCTAAGGGCATGATTAACGATAACAAAGGCACGCAGAATGATTTTCTGGCTCTGACTGCAAATCTCTTTATAGGTTTGACTAATTTGCATAAGGGAGGTTTGAAAAGTGCTATCTGGTGGTCAAAATTTGAACTATTTTTTATTTCAGAACTCTTTTCTCCATAGTCCATATAACTTATATACCAAGTTTCATCAAAATCCGATAGGCAGAACGGGTTTTACAGGGGTCTAAATAGGACTACTTTAATTATAACCACCCTGTACATAAAAACATTTTAACAGCCATTCCGAGCGATTTAACAGTTTTTTACCCTTGAGAAGTACAACCTTAACTTACATTATATAATGCAATCTACGCAATAATCTGCACGTCCGTTCTTGAAAAACTACATCGGTACCTTTTACATTTTTTAAATATATTTGAAAAAAGGAGCAGCAGCAGGTAGCAGTGTGTTGGCAGCTGAGTAGGAGAGTAAGAGAGAATTCTACTAATTTCCCCGTCAGAATGATTTAGTTTTGGTTTAAATATATTTTTATCAGTAAATTTTAAATTTCGCTTTGCAAATTTGAAATTATTTTTGGTTGAAACAATATGTAAGTGCCCAGCGTCATTAGCGTTACGCAAGAATTATAACACAGGGAATAATTTACGCAGTTTAGAGAGGTATCTTCTTTACTAGTTACTGCTTTAGGGTAAAAAAGGGAAATAACTAGATTAAAATAGGAAGTTCAAGGACAATTTCAAATTAAAAATAGAAATCTTAATTTACATACTTTGTAATCTTACATATCTTATATAAACATATATATATATATATAAACAATATATATATATATATATATATATATATATATACATGATCGAATACTTCATTAAACAGTTGCAGAATATTAAAGTCTGCCCATTTAAAAATGAAATTTAATTTTAAGATCTGTTTTTCATAACAGAATGGATTTCTTTATGTATTGGCATGATCATGTAAAATGCATAACAAAACTTTGAATAATAAATAATAAACTTTGAAGCGCTACTTTTAAAACATAGAACTCAAATATCATTTTAAAAAAATTTTTAATTAAATAACTTAAACAAAATCCCTAATTTCAAATGAATTAAATTAATAAAAAGGATTGAATTTTGATAAAACTAAAAGGAGATTTCCTTTTTTCTCTGCTAAAAGGTTTATGTAACTCAAATTGTGCCTTTTAAAAGTCTGTTGCCTTTAATCAGTAAGGGTACGAAGTGACATTTAAACAATGAATCTTCGCGATTTTAAAAATCATCAGAATGAAAATCCCAAAATTTTGTCAAAATGTATATTTGTCAATTGTTTAAACTGTTTCTGGCACTTATGCGGTACTTTTATTCAATTCTACCAAATAGCGGAACAGATTAATTTAAAGCTTTCTGATTTTATTCATTAAGTATATTTAATGAAGTACCTCAGGAAATACGGAAGTAGAATAACTCGATAAACTATCTTAAGAATTCCTTTAAATAAACAAACACTGTTTACTAACTTTCAAGCTATCCACGTCTAATTCATCATCCGGTATGTCAATAGAGGTTCTGCTTAAATAAAATGGAGAATGATCTTCAGACGGCAACTTCTTCTCTCTTGGCACGTTGTCATCAGTAGTAGGGCCTATAAGAGGAGCATAGATTGTAAATTTATGCGAGAGAGTGCAGTTACATTCTCTAACCAGATGTTGTTTTTATGGGCATTGTTAAAGAAAGGAAATTTATGCACCAAACAGACATTGCCTCTCTTCTCATTTATTTTCTTTCTTGAAAGTATTTAAGAATAGACCATTGCAAATTTGGTTAGGAGTGCTCAGCGTGTACAGGAATCGAAAATTCGATGCATTTTTCGTGTAACATATCTGCATATGTGTTTTTAAAGAAGCATGTAAAAAGTTTTTATTAATTAACGCTGTGGTGTAGAAAACCTCAAGTAGAAAAAGTTTAAGTTTTAACTTTATTCAAAAGAAACAGCGCATTATTCTAGCTGTAAAGGCGCATTTCTTTAATAGTAATTTTAACAAACTCTCCGAACCACTTCTGCTATTAAAATATTTTAAACAGTCCAGTTTATTTGTTTATAAATATTAGTCGTTAATAATATTCACGATGAACATGCATTTTAAAACTTAGATTGTCTAATTTTTACGAAAATAAATACAAGTTTAGGAAACACAGTTCATGGCGGATGAATTGAAAAAAAGGTATCTTTAAAAATTACCTGTTAAACAGGAATTGATTCGCAACTCCTTTTGCAGTGTCACCTTTTTTCTACAGCTAAGTCTGGAAAGCTAAATGAGTAACTTACCTTTACTTGGATACGGCTTTCGTGTAATATACACAGAGGCTTACATGTATCAAATATATTTTAAGATTTGACTGTAAGAGAAATGTTAAGAAAAATATTACGTTCCAGCATTTAGAAAATACATTTATGCAGAACTCTCATACTTACAGATTTTGAAAGCAGTGATTTCAGAATCCAGAAATACCAATACTACAATAAAAATATAAATATATCACAATTCTTTTGTAAATACGTATATAACTGGAAAAACTGATGCAATAATTTTCTAATACCTAGATTGCCCTAAGTGAAAGATCTAAAAGTGATGCCTTTTTACATTAAAATGAGCTGATATAAGAAATCAGGAATTCTTCTATCCATTTTAGAGTTGTAAAAATATAAATCCTGAATGACTATAAAACAATATACATTTTTTATTTAAAACTGGGTATAAACAAATTTGCAGCTCTAACTCTTTTTTAAAAAATTTAAAAAATGAGCATAATAGCGCAGTGAGAACAGAAGCAAAATTATATATTGTACTGAAGGTTTAGAACTAAATCGGCTAATTAAAAAAAGTTCGTGCCTCTCCTTTTGTAGAGACATTAGGAGTTTTGATGTTGAGAGACGTGAAAAATGAGCAATACCCTCGCCGGTACTCGAGCTTCGGACCTTTCGAATACGCGCCGAGTGTACTGACTGGTACATTACGAAGGCATGTAGAAAGGAGGCAGAAAGCATCTTAGACGTTTTGAAAATTTTTGCGGAAATATTGAAATTCAAAATCTGACACATTCACAATGAAATTAATATGCATATTTCCTGATCTCAAGCTTTTACGTAACATAGCTACAGATCTCGATACATTTCTTAAAATATCCTAAGTTCTAAAAATGTGGAAATAGTATTTAAATCTTCTTTTAGAACCAAGAAATGTGATTGGTTCTTGATTTTTATAGTAACAGAAGGCAGGATATTTTTAAATATTTAAAATGAAATAAAATTAGAAACGAAATAATGAAATGACTGGAACTAAACGAGCCGTTGCTACATGAATTAAAGAGTTACATTAATTTAATTATTTTTCGGTGGAATCTGATGCATGACTAATTGTCATAAACAAAAAATTAAGCGTGATCAGTTTATGCTCTAGTCTCGAATTAAATGGTACGTTACTTTCAATTTTATTAATCAGTTGCCGATTGAATTTTAAATGCTTAACTTTATACATTGATTTCAAAAACTATGAATTCAATTAGCATTGTCTATCTCATACATACGTATATGTGTGTGCTTATGTACCGGTAACAGTAAAAGGTTTTATTCATTGTAAGTTGAGTGCAATGAGAGTAAAAAGGCATATTAATAAACGTCAAGCAATAATGGTGTTGGTGTATTTAATTATGGCAAAGCACACGAGGGCTATCTGCCTAAGGGGAGGGATGCCTTTCGTGGAGGACTTTCTAAGGGAAACTGGCTCGTATACACGTTACACATGGGGAAAACCTCGAAAACGCCCATGCAGCCAGCCCGTTCGCGGGATTCGAACCTCGGACCGAACTACCAGTGTTCAGCGACTTTACCGCTCGGCCGCTGGTGCGCTCAAGTAGTAATGAAATCGTACTTATGAATGATTGTTGAAAATGGTATGTAAAGACACCTCCACTATCCGACGACTCGCTTTTGAACATCTTATACATAAAACCATTTATCTGTGACAATATATTTGATATGGTATTTAATACGCATATATGTAATGTTTTATATGTTTAAGAGTAAACCTCTGATCATTTCACGACGTTCATTTATATACAAAGCGAATCATGCTTTAAGTGTTATTTTAATAAAGCAAACTAAAATCATAAATAATTTGTTTAAAAATGTGAAAATAGTAATAATCCAGAAATTATCGTACTTAGGTTCGATGTGAAGATCATCAGTATCTTTTCATATTTCAGATCATTCGTAGTCCCATTACTAAAAAGATGTTCACCATCGAATTCTCACTGTAGCTGCATTGTAATAAATCTAAATCGAGAGACCCACCAGCGGCCGAGAGGTAAAGACGCTGAACACTGGTAGTTCGGTCCGAGGTTCGAATCCCGCGAATGAGCTGCCTGGATGGGCGTTTTCGTGGCTTTCTCCATGTGTAACTTGTATACTAGCCAGTTTCCCCTAGAAGGCCCTCCCCGAAGACATTCCTTCCTTTAGGCAGATAGCCCTCGCGTGCTTTGCCATAATCCAAATCCTAAATCGAAAGTTTGAAAATGATAGTTCTTTTTATGCAAATTAACTTCAAAAATTCTGTGCAGTTATGTCTTTGAAGATTACGTTCGGGAGCTGCTGCACTAAGAGATATATATGGACTTTTATTTGATGATTTTGATAGCATCCACGTTATCCTCTGGCATGTGTGGTCAGCTCATTTTTTTTTTTTACATTCGTGACATATTGATTCCATTTAAGTTTGTTTCCTAGTTTGAGTATCGTGTTATCAACTAGGTGAGGTTTCTTGGAATCTTTTCAAATTTATTTGATATTATTGCTTTTTATTCCTTGGATTCTCCAGACAACTATGTTCACACTCGTCTTTTTATTTAACTTATATCTGAGAAATATATATATATATATATCTGAGAAATATATATATATATATATATATATGTATATATACTTATATATATATATATATATTATATATAACGTAACGCGCTAACGGTATTAGCTTAATTCGAGTTTTGAGCTGCTTTTCCCTTGATAAGTCCGACTCAAACCTCGGGTTGGGCTAATTTACCATTTGTTGCAATTCTTCGTACATTTTTACTGTGTATTTGAAATGTTTTTAATTATTTGCGAGTATCTTTTTTAAATTATTAAAATTTTTTGTATTAAAATTTATTAGTTTTCTTCCTTATCCCTTTTTGATTTTGAAATTATCTCGTTTTGTAATTTTTTACACTGAGTTTTTTAGTTAGTATTGTTAGTTGTTTTTACATGATGTAACTATTTTACACAGGAACTACAGTGTCAACTGTACTTTTTTAGCAATAGCTTTTAAACATTTCTCTTATTTGCAAATATGTTTAAAAATTTTGCAGCTCAATACGCAGAATTCTTGACCACTAAGGTTTCTCTTGTTCATGTTATCTTTCCAATTTCATATTATATATATATATGTATGTATGTATAAAAAGAAACATAATAATAGGCTAAAAATGAAAAAAACAAAATTTCGTTTTAAGTCTATATTATAAATCGCTTTAAGTTATATATATATATATATATATATATATAAATATATATATATATATTAAAAATAAAGTAATTAAAAGTAAATTAAAAAGCCTGAGATTGAAATTACTATTTAAAATGCTTATTTAAATTCTGACTAAAAGAATTTTTTTTCAGGGTTTTTAATTTAAATTTGTATTCCTTGGAAATGCTACATGGAAAGTTTTCTTATTATAAATTACATATATACATGAAGTGAATCATTTTGATTAAAATAGCAGCAGCAGTTTTATCCCCCATGAATAAATATGTTACCACTCAGCTGTTATTCTTGGCAAAAAAATGGTTTGCAAATAAAAGAAGTCTAAATTCGCATTTTAGTAACTTTTGATTTTTGAATTTTCTATAATCTTACTTTAAATTTTATCATTTGCTATTTTAATTTAGCAGTTAAAATTTTAAGTAGCTTCGTTTTTTACTTTTATATTTTTCTAAATCCTATCACCCACTTCAAAAGTATTAAATTAATTCAGTAAAAGAAAAGGCTCATGGTTAAGATCTAGTAATTACAAACTGAGCCACTAAGCGACTGAGTTGGTTAGTTTGCCCGCCGTTAGAATAAGAAAAAGAGAAGAGAAAGTAGTTTTAAGCAAGTATAAGTCTAGTACACATTGTGTGGAAAGGTTAATATTAGGCTAAAGGCTTTATTTATAACGGGTGGTCATTTTTTATTTGGTGCTGGATTTGAAATTGTTCCACAGACTAATAAGAATATCAGGGTTTTATTTCTTGAAATCTTAAAAGCAGTTAAATTTAGGTAATACACCACCGACTAGTACACAAATAATGAATGCTTTCTTACCTTTTGTTCTCCTGGGAAGAGGGCCGTACAGTGATTTAACAGTTCATTCTCCCTTTTCAATTAAACAAGTTAAAGCTACTGTCACTGGGGTGAATTTTTGGCTCTTATGTTACGTTTCAAAGCGCACGCTTAATGTTCACAAATGCGTCGCTTTTGCATGGTGATTCTTTCCTATTGTCGCCTTCTAAATAGTCTCTTGAGGATAAAGGTGTTGAATTTAGTGGATTTTCCGTGGGCTGAGTCA